AGGATCACTGTTGTACTCTGCAGTGAGTCATCTGCATACACAGCAGTACAGAAACCTAACATTCTTTGCTTGTAACCACTTTCGATTAAATGTTGGCATTCTATTCTCTTTTTGAGACCCCTTCAGTTCTAGCTTTTTTCCTCACCCACAGGCAACGATGGATTTAACAATCAAAACAAAACTCTCTATAAAGAAAACAGCATCGATCGCTCACAAAGTGAAATCAACAAGCCTTCGCACAAACAGTGTCAATATTATTTTATTAATGTATTCCGTAGCTTATTAATTGGTGTATTATTTACAATTTTAAGCAGGTTACAACATGGCTATAATACTGAAGAAGCTACAGCATTTTTCTTATATTGTTATTTAACGTGGAGAGGAAAGAGACAATGGGTGAAAAATTCCATTTGCTTATTATGGTGGCTATTACAACTAAATTTATTAACATGGTCATGAAATGAGAGTCTTAGACATCTACAAAATGTAAGGCTACCATTTTCTCCTTAAAAATCCCCCTAACTCTCAAAACTATGAAGGGGAGGGATATTTTGCGCCACAAAAAATTGCTAATGAATTGTGTATTTTGCAGCCTTATCTTAAAGCTTAAGGCAGTGGCTCCCAACCTTTTCTATACCCCGCACCCCTAGAACACTTCTGATATATTCTCGTACCCCTTACAAAAGTTCAAAATAATGGCAACGAATTATGCATATACACTATAACAGTGATGGCGAATCTTTTAGAGATGGAGTGCCCAAACTACAACCCAAAACCCACTTATTTATTGCAAAGTGCCAGGGCTGCATCAGCATTGTGGTGCCCTCAGGGGGGGCATGGGGGCGTGGCCCACTGGGTAGTGTGGCTGCAGTGGTCACGGCAGACTTGGTGAGCATGGCTGGGGCCAGGGCGGCGGGGCCAGTCCCTCACCATCTCCGCGACATCCCCGGGGGGGGCAACGTTGCTTGCTTGCTCACTTCCTGCCCTGTCACTTCCAAACGCCACGTGCTCGCTACTCTGGTGAACTCTTCTGGGGCAACGGTGCGTGTGCCCACAGAGAGGGCTCTGAGTGCCGCCTCTGGCACGCATGCCATAGGTTCGCCACCACTGCACTATAATTTTGAAAACCCAAGTTTTTGTACCCCCTGGAATATCGTCTCGCACCCCTGGTTGGGAACCCCTGGTATCAAGAGTAATATAATCCAACCCTCTGCCCATTGCAAGAATTCAAATTAAAGCATTATTACCAGATAGCTTTCTATCGTCAACTTGAACTTACTGCATTTGGCCTATAAAATACCACTGGATTTTTCATTAACTGAAATAACAAACAATCAAAATGTTTTAAATTTTGGCTGAGCCAAACCACAGACCACCTAGAACAGTTCAAAATACATACTCCGTTTAATGCACACACTTATTTTTATTTATTTATTAAATTTATATGTTGCACTTTATATATAATACACAAAAACCTCCACATCCCAGATTTGAGATTACAGTGCAATAAGAATTCTTGATTTGGATGTTACAGAAGTAACAAAGACATGGTAAATAATATCTTATAATGGTGAGTAAATATTGTTCATGTTTTCAGAAAAAGAGGGAAAAGATTACCAAGATTCGTCAGCTTGATGCCAATAACAAGTAAAAATTTGGAACAAATTATTAAGCATTTAGTTGGTGAGCAATTAGAAAAGAATACATTGCTTGGCAGAAGCCAACTTAAATTTATAAATGTCAAACCAACCTGATTTCCTTTCTTTACTGTTTTAACTGACCAGGGTAATGCAATGGACTTACCGTATATTCATTTTGGCAAAGCATTTGATAGTCTCCCAGGAGATTCTACTAGAAAAGTTGACAACATGTGAACTGAACTATGCTATTACATAAATGCATTGCCGGTTGAACTACATACCCAATGAGATGGAGGGAAATGTCAAAAGATATACCACAGACTCAGTCCTAGGCCCTACATTGTACAAAGTACTTATGATTTGAATTTGAGTAAGAAAATATATCAATTTTTTTAGATTACCCAGTGATAGGAGAGACAGCAAATAGCTTAGCAGAAAATGTCAAGAGTTCCAAAAAACCCAGCAATATGAATTTCAAATGGTCAAATGTAAAGTCTCATACTGAGATATGAGAAATCAGTGTTGTATCTATTTAGTAACCATTCTGATTAATGACTATGTCATTAGAATGGAATGCAGCTACTAAACAAGAAGAGGGCACATAGGATTTGTGCAAAGATCATACGGGGCAGCAGTGGATGCCTTGGTGGATCACAAACTGAATATGTTACAGGCGCAGAAAATGATAAATGAATTCATAGGCTGCAACAACAACGTACACTGTTAAGATTAAATTACACAAGACATTTAGAAGAGAGCAACCAAAATGATAAGGGGCCTGAAGACATGAGGGACAGGGTAGGAGATTAGATTAGATCAGTGATGGCAAACCTTTTAGAGACTGAGTGCCCAAACTGCAACCCAAAACCCACTTATGTATAGTCGGGTGCCAGGTGGGCATGGCCTTTTGGGTGGGTGCGGCCCATTGGGTGGGCGTGGCTGCGGTGCTAACGGCAGACTGGATGGGACTAAAAAGTTCAATCAATCAATTCCAACTTTGCAAGATCTTTTTTTCCCCTGCGAAAAGTTGAAATTGATTGACTGAACCTTTTTTTTTTTTTTTGTACACAACGGCGGAGGCCTAAAGCAAAAAGATTTTATAAAACCCAGCTGAGGGCCTAGGACTGGGGCACACGTGCCATAGGTTTGCCACCACAGGACTAGATGAAGACTAGACAAATATTGCTTTGTGTTATTTTGCAAATCATAAAGCGCATCAAACCAGCATGATAGACAAAGATAAAAGAAACTGAGTAATCTTTGAACATCTTATTCAAATTAGAAGCAACGTCCTGATATAATAAAGGGGCTCAATGGTTTTATCAGCTATATCTTTTGCAGCTTACAGCATTATACAATGTATAAGATAAACAATTAAGCTTACACAGACTCCCCCACTTTTACATATTTAATTATGTCTTCCCCATCAATGTTAACTGTTGAATAAGTGTGATGGAAGAGTGTGATGTAATCCAGTACATTTGGAGAGAATCAAAGTGGTGAAATCTGACTTAGACTGCAAACTCCTTACAGGAGAACTCTTTTATCTGTTTGCAAAGCTCTGAACACTCATGTCAGCACACAAGAACCAAAGAAATTACTAGTCAGCTTAATAATAATAATAATAATAATAATAATAATAATAATAATAATAATAATAATAACAACAACAACAACAACAACAACAACAACAACAACAACAACAACAACAACAACAACAACAACAACGATGATAAAGTTGGAAGGGACCTTGGAGGTCTGCTCAGGCAGGAAACCCTATACCATTTTGGACAAATGGCTGTCCAGCTTCTTCTTAAAAACTTCCAGTGTTGGAGCATTCACCACTTCTGGAGGCAGGTTGTTCCACTGGTTAATTGTTCTAACTGTCAGGAAGTTTCTCCTTAGTTCTAGGTTGCTTCTCTCTTTGGTTAGCTTCCACCCGTTGCTCCTTGTCCTGCCTTCAGGCGCTTTGGAAAATAGCTTGACTCCCTCTTCTTTGTGGCAGC